CTAATTTGTGACACATTTTATGTTAAGAAGTTAAGAACCACAGAAACATATTAGACATTAGCGGCTATATTGCCTAAAATACACCTTTGTGTTGCTTTTCTGAAGCTAAGATCTGTGTACACCTGCATCAATGTTAAGCCAGATTTGCCGTTCTGTATGGCAGATTTATATCAGTTAGGCGATGTTTTGCAAAAAAAACAAAAACATAAATAGCAATTTTGCACAGATGCTAGATATGAATAGAAAGCGAGACCTTTAGAAGTTCTTCCATGGCTCCAAAACTGTCCTAAAATGGACAAAGTGAAACGCTGCTCAGTAAATATTTAGAAAGCTTCCCCTGAGCCTTGTCTGCATGTGTCTGTGTGAGACAGACAGATTGGGCTAAGTAACTGTGGTGTATACAACATAAATTTATGGGATTGTGTTTGTGATTGTCTTAACACTAAATAGGCATGCTACTGTTTGTACATGGAGTAAGAAAGTCTTTGTGTGTAAGAAAGTGATTGTGTGTGTGTATTGGAGAAGGTTAGCAGCCCAAGCAAAGGCAAGTCATTACAGCGACGCTCCCAGTTTTTGGCACAAATACTGCAAGCTCAATATTGCCGGCTGTGAGTTGTAACTTGCTCAGCAGCAGCTTCTAAAACAGAAGGCGTTTATTTTGTTTCAGCTGCCACACCCAGCAAAAGTGTTTTTCGGCTGAGGCAAGATGGCATTCTGCCTTATAACAGTGCAAGCCCTAAAGCACTGGAAACCCCCGTCTCTATTAATATCACCAAAGATATTGATTAGCATTATTGGAAAAAATGCTGAACTGGATGACCAGACAATGCATTGATCCTTGAGCGCCAACAATTCTTTCACCATGAACAACAAAACATATTGGTTCGTCAAAGATGACCGTCTTCCATAATACCTTCCTGTTCAAAATGTCTTTTGTTCTTAAAGGAGTACACCCAAAATTGTTTTCTCAACCGCATTGTGTTTCAAACATAGAACATTGAAGTTTAATTTTTAGCTAATTATCCTAGCCACTCTTTTCAAAATATTGAAAGTGAATGAAAACGGTTAAGCTCCAAAAACAAAAAAAAAACAAAAAAAAAACGCCATAAAAGACAGAAATTTACGTAGTTATTGACTGAAAATCTTGATATGAACCATGCACCGTTTTGTGAACTAACCGTTTATTTGAAGTGTTTTCCCAAATGTTTAATTCATGAATTTACGAATTCTCAAGTTCACCGACTTAAAAGAGCGCAGAAATCGTTTAGACTACTTTTATAGTGCTACTTTTCCCCCAGTCCTCATTTACTTCCATTGCATGGCAGGGCTCCAGACTGCGATAAGAGCTGCCATTTCTGTTTCATATGAAAAACATCAAACATCAAAATGAAAACGGAACGAAACAGCGCTTCGACAGTTTATCAGCTCGGACCAATATTAGACAGCGCAGCGCGAGGTCAGAACAGGTTACTACATAGCGCTGGGAGATCCAGTGAGAAAGCGTTTGAATTCGCCGCAGTGTTAATAACATCGCTGCGAGATCTAGTGAAAAGCATTCAATATAGCCGCAAAATTCTCTGATATCACTCAGATCAAACAGCGCTGACGTGGAAACTAGGAGAAACATTGTGCCATGAACGAACAAGTTATAGAAGGCTTTTCAGTCCACAAATCACCAACATTCACCATATATTTAATGTTGTAACATTAACCATGGTGTATTGTGGCAGAATGTTGAATGTTTTTATATGAATTATTTCAGGGTTCATACCTTTTGAGAGTGAAATTCAAGCAAGTGAAAATTACCTTTATGATTAAAAATCATAAAGCACTAGCACTACCAAATTTGGTGCTGCTGCCACCATCTGTAGTGGCACCAGTGCTACTGCTCTTAAATGTTAGTCCAGACTAACATCCAGCCCTGACATGGGAAAAGAGAGATCGACATGAGCAGTTAAGTGATTTCATTTTTGGGTGGACTTGTTTTAAGTGCTGCTCTGCCTGACTTGAGGGATTCAGTCTTCCTCAGAGAAGGTTCTCTCTCAGGACGTTCTGCGAGCGCTCTGCGCCTGTTGCCAAAATGCTAAACGCAAAAGTCCTTGAGGAATCACTCCGCCCACACAGTGACCTGGCCCCACCCGTAACCCCTCATGTGACCAAGCCCAAAAATCCCACACTTCCAGTTCCCACCACCGCCTGCAACATTTATTTATCTTTCCGTTTGCTTAGATTTCCGTTTATTTATTCACTTTTTTTATTTAACTTCGCCTCTCATGCACAATCCCTCCTCATTGACGTCTGCATGCACATATGCGACCTGTGGGCAAGCAGAGCCAAGTCATGGGGAACGGACCTCATTCTGAAACGTGTTTATGGGACAGAGTTGAAATGAAGGTCAGGGGAATTCAGGAGAAAGCGCCAGCAAGTAACAATCAGACAGTCAACCTGTGCGACGGCATCATAACGAATAGTACCACTCATATCTGAAGGCAAAGCCGCTTTGCTTCATCGTGAAACTTTGAAAGTGAATACTAGGAGAAAAGTCTGAGTGGCATGGTGAGTCATAGTTATGCCTACACTGACTAAATCCAGGCACGCAGAACTCTGTGGAAAGCTCAGGAGACTTCCTTGGAACTGGAATGTCTGTCATTAACAAAGCTCTTCACATATTCAGAGGCTAATTTGATAACAGTTAACACTGCCAGCTAACAAACTTCAAGTTTGTCCCCAGTAAACGATGAACAGAACAAAAGAACAGAAAAACAATAAAAGTCTGGAGTGTCCATGTGGACCTGGTGATAGAGTCACAGTGGGTAATATATTAAATTAAGACCACAGCTGAAGTCTCTCTCACGTAGACATAGGCTGGGAGTGTGAACTTGAGTGAAGAACGCTGGTGGTGGTCAGCTGAGACAGCGTGGCTGGTTTTGTTCTGGTTTAATGAAGCGTGGCATCACATGATGCCAATGCGGACTACATGCTGCCCATATCAGCTCTGTCTACAGATCGGATCGCAGCGTGATGAAAAGCTGCCACCTCAACACAAGACCCTAGACAAGAATCTCCACAACCATCAAACAGATCCAACACCTGATATTCCTGCTCATCATAATTTTCCCACTTTAGTAATGCTGTTTCCATCTAATAAGCAGTTTAAAAAGCATGCAGAAATCCCCATGCGCATCTGCAAGCACTCTGCATGCAGTCCCAGAACAGACAAGATAATGCAATCATTCCATTTGAAGCTTTTAGAAGAATAACGTGACCGAGCAGCACACATTTCACACCCACACTTGAGAATGATAGATGGACAACTCTCAATGTGATAATGAGCATTTCCTCTCACATATCAGCTTATCTTGTAGAGGGAGGCATTGTGTACCACAAAAGCGGATTGCAAAAACATCTCGACCCCATCCCCTTTTCTCGTCCTGGAGAGAATGTACAGTTGTGATTCTGAGTCAGTATCTCAGAGAGGTGTTGTTAGTGAATGATTATTCAGGACTTAAGGGACGGGTGCATTTCATATGACCTAAATTCAGAAACCAGCACAATGGCTTTTCAATGTAGCCTTGGATTCCAGGGGAGACAAAAATCTGTACAATAGATCTGACCCACATCTGTACAATTGTCTAGTTTCGTAATAAAACAGTCAACACCAAACATAAAGGGATAGCCAAGCCAAAATTGAAAATTTGGTTAAGTTGGTCTAAATCTGAATGCTTTTTGGTTCTTCCATGGAACAACAAAAACAAACATCTAAGAGGATAGTAGGCACTGATTTGTACTATCAAGCTTCATAAAAACGCAACTGATTCTTGTATGTCTTGCAACTATTTTTATATGTGTGTAAGCAATCTAAGCATGAATGATGTTGAAATCAAACAAAGACTTTCAACAAACTTTGAAAATGAAAACTGTTATCAAGAACCAGGTTTCGGGTAATGTAAGGCCGAAGGCCAGCCTCAGTCAGCTACCATTGACTTTCATTACATGGAAAAAATGCCATGAACGTGCCACAAGCTTTTGTGTTTCACAGAAGAAAGGAAATCATACAAGTTTACAAGAACATGAGGACAAGTAAATTATGACGAAATCTGCATTTTGGGGTGAGCAATCCCTTTAAAATCCTGTCAGACAACAATATATCTTGTGTTTTGAGTAAAAAAAAATACCCTAAACATTTAGATTTTGGGTTTCAAGACAAAAATGATGAAAAATGATGACAGAATTGTCATTTTAGGGTGGACTATCCCTTTAAGAAACAGACACTAGACTCAAAGAACTCAGTCCAGCAGCACAATGCCATAATAGAGTCTTTTGTCTTATTAATGCGACCTTTAAGAACAATGCCATCCTTTCGGTGACGGATGGACGAATCCCCACGGCGGGTTTTGCGACGGCTACAAATATCGCAAAGCTCCTTGCGTGCAAAGAGCCCAGCAAGAGCCCGTCTCTGTTGACAAATGAAGAGCTGCTGGAATACACATGAAGTCCAGCAGGTCTGGATGATGCAGGTCAATGTTTAACTGCATGCATGTTACACATTACATCTGTGGTTAAACATTTACGGTTTACTTTCTCGTAAATTATGCAAAACACTGGTGCATGTCATACTTCATCTAAACTGACACTAGTGGAATATGCATGTGTCGAAAGCTATGATAAGACTATCTCACACATTTCATTATCTGATCGGTGCATGCGAGAAAGATCAATGACTAAACTAATGGTGATGATAGAAACGTGTCGGTGTTGACAAATTAAACACATCACAATTTACTGTTAAATAATGAATTCTGAGAAGGGCTCACACATCTGTCTTAAACATTTGCAGAAGGGGTGGTGGTCATTAACTGCATTAAAATACAGGTCTATCGCACTGGTACGAAAATGAATTTAGACATAAAGCTATTGAAACACCAATTGGGAACATTTGACTAACTTAGCCTATGTATACAGTGAGATATCGTTAGTTATAGTGCTGTGATGAAACTCACCCCATGTGCGATGTCCGGCAGAGAGAATAAGCGCGTGCCGATGTTTTTAATCTTCATTTACAAAGTTTACATGAAATTCCGTAATTCCTAATCGCTTGATCGAGTCTTCAATGATCCGTTTGGGAGAGCCCCAACAATACAAATGATTTAATACAAGTCAAAACTTTTGCGGAGTCATTTCTTCAGATAATCTAGTACAGCCATGGTTAAGATAAACGTCAAAAAAGCTAGAAAAATACTCTGAGTTTGCGTTAACGTCTCTAGTACGCGTCCGTTACTGCTGTATTTTCTCTTTAATAGAAAAAAATCGTTAATTCCTCGAGCTGGTCGCCAGAACAACAGCCTCGAGATCTGTGCGCGGCTACGTAATACACACACACAGACGCGCGCGGGCGCACGCACGCACGCGCTCAGCAACTTAGCGTGGAAGAGCTTAAGACGCCTGGGTAATGATTTGTACACCCTTAATTTGCCTGTTAACGAAAATAAATGTATTACAAAAACATATATAATTGCAGACGGTCGCAAAAAGATGTTTTCTCCACTCGATGAAAATGTTCAGGATATAAAAAGTCACATTTATGGTAGTATTTTAGTTTCTCTCTCCCCAGGGTAGAAATGAGGTCCAGATGTTTTTTTGGCTTTTTTTTTTTTTGGTTCCACCTCCTCACTTCCTCTCCACATCTGAGTTGACTTTGTTTTGCCTCTTTTTCACACATAGATTGACGTGTATCTAATTGGCAGAGACCTATTGATTTTCCCACTATATTTCATTATGGCTTTATTAGACGTTTTATAGCCTACAACAAAGGCAACAATAAATATGAATGCTTCAATTATATATGCTGAGATCTAGTGGTGGAGAATCAAGTAACTTTGGATTGATATTGATTGGATTGCTATCTGTTAGGGAATGTCCATTGTCATTTTTCACTTCCATAATTGTAGATTAGGGATTCCCAAACTTCTGAATGCTGATGTTTATGTTTGTGGCCTGAACAACCAGATGCATTTGCACTTGGCACCTCATGAGTAAGTTTTGGGGCAGGAAATTACACATGGTTTCCCGTTATCCTCATTGCTCTTCAGCTGATGAGTTTACAATCAACAATAAAATCATCTTGTTTCAGTGATACCACCCTAACAGCGAGACTTCATGTGGTCAGGGGAAAATTATAGTACGTCTTGTTTGACATCTGCTCATACATGTGTTAACCACCTTTGCTGATTCACATACGCTCGGCTCAACGGTTTATTTTTTTTCTTCTCCTTTTCCTATCATCACTGATGTATGCGTTGATATCCGCCAGTATAATTTTTTTTTGTCTTGATGAACACGTTTCGCCCCAGGTGTGTGCCGTTTGGTCTAGGCTTGTTTATCATTGAGGTTGTGTTGTATCGTGTTCACACAGGGAAGGCAGGTATGAATCATAAGAGATTTGCTTCATTGAACACTACTTTTAAATTCAAGCTTTCTGGCATCAAGAACCCAGTAATAAAAGACATTAATAAGGACCATGTGCTTAATTTCGTCCTGTTGAGTAGATAAGCCCCTCGAGCATGTATGGAAATCAGTGAGTCATCCTGAATAACGACACATCCACCTCCAAGTCGTTCCTGTCTCATTTTAAGGATCATTGTGTGATCTGATTTCACCGTTTTGAGATGTAAATGCTCAAATGATAAATTCACACCCACCTAGAACAGTTTGAATGGATTCAGAGGTTTCGCTGCCATATACTTTGACAAACAGATTGATGCATCTTACAAAAGTCCGAGAGACTCCGGTTTGAACTCTACATTTCTGTCAGCTCAGAGGAGGGGTCAGGAACCCTGACCTCACTTCCTGTGGTGACTTCACAAGCCGTGCATTGTGTGTGAGAATGTGACAGGGCTCCTGGGACTCCTCCACATCTGGCAGCTGTTTTGACCACCCCCAGCCCTTTCCGCCACCACCAGGAAGATCTATGAATGTTCCTGGTATACTCACCTCAGGACCCCCCCCCCCCCCCCCCATCCCCCCACCCCCCCACCCCCAATAGCTAACTTCATTTCCAAGCCGTTATGTATCTCACACATTCTCTGTATTTTGGTCTGCCACACTCTGGTTTCCACCATCAGGTTTTACCCGAAGAAGTTCCGTTTTGATGTGGTTAATGCCAGCGTCTTTTGTGAGTGCCTCACCCTTCATAGGACAGGCGTCAGCGGTCATTATGAGTTCCTCTAGTTAAAAGAGAACAACTTTGTTATTCAGAATAATTTTCATTGCTATTTTTTTCCCTTCAACTCTTCAAGCATTATAGGAACATCAAACATTTTTGTGAAATGCCACATTTGTGTCACTGTCTTTCTCACGGGGGCTCGATGCATGTGGTCTCGCTAGAGGATGCTTCTAAATTTAGATCGTTTCTAACGTAGGCAAAATCATTGCTTCCTGTTTGAAGTTTGAATATGAAAAGATCAAATCCTCTGTCATTCTGCGTTAAAAGATGTTTAATTTAGAACAAATAGGAATTATTTCATATTTGAATATGTCATTTAATAGTTGCGAAAGCAGGTGTGAATCCTCATTATGCGATTCTCAATATTAAGATGTAGAATATCCATCCATCCATCTATTCAAAATATGAAGTGTCTATACTGAGAAAAATATTAAGTGTCTATACTGAGAAAAATATTAAGTGTCTATACTGAGAAAAATATTAAGTGTAACATTTTGGTTCCAAAAATAAATAATTTGCTTTATTATTGTCATTGTAAAACAGCAGATTGTTACAAATACTAATATATACAGTATATACACACACACACAACAAAATTTGCCCCCAATACTTGATTCTGATTGGTCAATTGCAACATTCTGAAGTCAAATATTTTTGTATAATAGCCGCTATACTTTATAATTGATCATTATGAGAAATAATTAGCTTTGCTGTGTTAGTATCTTGTATCTCATGCGGTCTCTTGCCACATTATAAAATAATTCAAACTCAAATCAATATTTCAAGTCCAGTTACTACTGTATTGTTGTTGTAAGTGGATAATGTACAGCCAGCCGGCCATTCATTTTTGTAAAATAAACCCAGACAGGGTGATCAGGACATTGATGCAGTGTGATTATAATGATCAGCTGATTGTACTTTAACCTTTACATATCTGGTATCGGTATGTGCTAATGGTCATCACTGTAAACAGTTCTGTATTTCACACCTTATTTTTCTTTTGAAGGTCTCTGACCAGTATATATACACTGGTATACTGTGTGTATGTACATATATATATATATATATATGTATGTATACTAGTCAGAGACTTTTAAAAGAAAAATAATGTAGGAGTGAAATACAGAACTGTGCTCATATTTCATTTCCTCTCCTTATTAGAGCGGGAACACCTCCAGCATTTGCGCATTGGCATACTATACCCTTCCTCTTTTTCCGTCATCATCACAGACCATTTATATTTTTAGAATGTCAGTAGATTCCCTCTCTGTCATGTGGTCTGCAGTCGTGTGATCCAGTGAGTCTGATGTCTTATGATGATTCTATACAGTCACGCTCATTGATTTGTCCAATTTGCAGCACGGCATTGCCTTGTTTGTTCGAGAGAATATTGCTGTCAACATTGCGGTGGCAATGTCAAAAGTGCAGAAAAAGCCACAATGTTTAAAAAAAAAAGATTTACACATTTGAGTATTCACAGTGTGTAAGAGTGTATCAGAAGTGACATTTGAATGAATGAATGAATGAATGAATGAATGAATAAATGAGGCATTTATATAGCGCTTTCATATGTACTACTGTACACCCAAAGCGCTTTGGTAAGTCTATTTAGCGTGCAAAACTCTAAAAAGAATTTGCAATGTAGTCTTATCATAGCATTGACCTTATAGTTGTCTCTTTACATTAAACTGGCATAATTCAATTTAAAAAGTATTTAAATGAAATAAGTATAAATAGCATCCTTAAAGAGATAGTTTACCCAAAAACTCAAATTCTGTCATTAATTACCCTCAAAAACCCTCGTTCCAAAATATTAATCTCTCGCTCTCTTGTTAAAGGGATAGTTCACCCAAAAATGAAAATTCTGTCAGTAATTACTCACCCTCATGTTGTTCCAACCCCGTAAGACCTTCGTTCATCTTCGGAACACGAATTAAGATATTTTTGATGAAATCTGAGAGCTGGATCACTCCTCCATACTAGTCCATAGGCTTCTTCAGGGATTGAACTTGCCGGCCTCGAAAAGTTATTAAAGACATTGTTAAAATAGTCCGAGTGACTACAGTGGCTCAATCTTAAGTTTATCAAGCGACGAGAATACTTTTTGTGCGCAAAAACAAACAAAAATAACGACTTTATTTCAACTATTCATTTCCTTCTCTGTGGGCCTGGAGTCAGTTCACTAGTGTAATAGCGTAAGCTTCTGTTGTTGTACGTCACACGCATCACGCACATGACCAGCGTCGGCCAATAGTGAGCCTACGTGTGACGTAGCTCTACGGAATCACACTACGTTAACTGACTAGAGGCCCAAAGAGAAGGACATGAATAGTTGAAATAAAGTCGTTACTTTTGTTTGTTTTTGCGCACAAAAAGTATTCTCGTCGCTTGATAAACTTAAGATTGAGCCACTGTAGTCACTCGGACTATTTTAACGATGTCTTTAATAACTTAAAAAATAAAAAAATCATAAAAGGCTAATAAACTATATCCTATACATTGTTTATCTAAAATGGAGTGAATCCTAGTAAGGAAATGCTTAAGCTAGCACTTGCCTTGCAAGGCCACCAAATCTATCATGGCTTTATCTTACCAACAGACTTTGTGGACAGTTAGACACCATTTTGAATTGTAAGTTGTTGTTTTTTTTACACAGAAACACTCACTATGGTGAGGTGTCTGTTCTTCCACTTCTTCCCCTTCAGCCTCAGCCATTACTGAAAAAGTAAATAATGGCACCTCCTGGAGTCAAGATGGCTGATCTCTTCTTCCTCCTAATCATCCATTAGTGGCTTAAGTGTCAGTCGCGCCACATGTCAGAGCTCACAGGTTGAAATCCCTCATGCCCCCCTTCGCTCATACCTTTTATCACCTGCTCATTTTCCTTTTTATAAGACCAGCTTTGTTTTTTGTGGAACGGTGCTTACACCATTTAATGGTTTTGCACAGCTGCATTCATGACGTTTTCCAGAGTGTTTGTCCATGGGAGAATGAACAAACTCATCTAGCAGGTGATGCCTCTTCTTTGTCAACAGCTCACCATGCTGTTTTCATTCCTATTTCAGCGACTGCATCTAAACCATTGTATAAGACAATCATTACTTCAATCTTTCCTCACAGGGATGTAGTTGACTTTACTTTATTATTATAGCGGAG